GGCCAGTTTACATTATAACACGGACTTGTTTTTTTAATTACTTCTGTTTATTTGCGTCTTTACATCTGTTAAATATTTCATTTGACAAGGTGCCACATAAAAGGCTTGTAAAAAATTAGCTCTATAGGTGTAGGGGATAAGTTAGCAAATTGGCTAGAAGAGTGGCTGGATAGAAGAAAACAGAGGGTTGTTACAAATGAAGTTCAGTCAAACTGGATTAATGTCACAAGTGGGGTACCTAAGGGTTCAGTCTTATGACCTTTGCTCTTTTTGATTTACATCAATGACATAGATGAAGGGATAGTCAATAAATTACTTAAATTTGCAGATGGTATTAAGGTCTTGGGTGTTGCTAGCTGTGAAGAGGATGCTGCTGAATTACAAAAGGATTTAGATCATTTAATGAGTTGAGCAAATAAGTAACTAATGTTTTATTATATTTTATAAAAAAAAATGCAGTAACAGCAGCATAAAATGTTACAGCAATAACAACCAAACCATAACATAAAAGCAAAATAATCTTATCCAAACAAAAAGACTATGAAACAAGCAGTTAAAAGAAATTCTAAACAACTGAACAAAGCACTAACCAAGTTTTCATTTACACCCCTAAGTATACTTCACCTTTTCTTTACTTCAGTAACAAGTGATAAAGCCTCGAGTATTTCTTTCAAATACTGTGCATTTGCCAGAGATAAAACTCCTCTAATGTATAACCAAAGCAAAATATTTATTGAACCTATCAGTTAAAACTTACCAATACGACAAAAAAGCTTTGCTACTGAACGTACGTAACACATTACCGTGCTAACAACAGAAACATTCACAATTATGTTCTTATTAAAACACGAACGAGAGTGGTTGGCCAAAATTTCCTAAAATCTGCTTAAACACGACTCAATACACAGAACATTTATTACATTGTGTCAGGCATTTGGCTGATCTCTGCAAGTTTACATTGGCATAATGTACCTAAGTAGGCACTTGTCAACAAACAAGCTTGCCTTTATTTGAAGCATGTCACAGTGCCAAACAATCAATGATATATTTTCATTAAAAACCTATATAAACATAGTTTCACTGTGGTGAGTAACAGACAGCTCAAAACACCATACATTTTGCTTAATTATCATTAATTCACAATAATAATGAAGCAGAGAAAACTGTAAATAAAGTAAAACAGTGTTATCTTCATGTTGCTGCATGAAGTGATCATATTTTATTTCACTATAAATAAATTAGTCCAAAACAGCTTGTTACTGCTTTTGTTGGAAATGGTACAGAGACAGTGTGCCCCTGAACTGTTAGGTCTTAGACAAATAGTCAATCAATATGTTCTATTTTCATTTTAACATTTGAAAAATCTCAAGAAATGTATGTTATTTAACTCTTTCAATACGAGGTTAGTCAATGTGACAACCTTGTAACCATTTTGTGCTTATAGTTTTCATGCTATAACTTTTAAATTAGATAGTTAATTTGTTTGTAATTAAGCACAAAGCTACACAATGGGCTAGCTGTGCTCTGTCCATCACGGGTATCGAAACCCGAATTCTAGCGTTGTAAGTCCGCAGATATACCGCTGTGTCACTGGGGGGCTTTAAATTAGTAAGCAAATATTAACGAAATTTGGCAAATTATCAGTAAACATTACAATGCTATCATATACAAAATATATAATTTTTTATTAAGTCGTAAGGTTTGTAAGGCAATGTTTTTCTCTTGCCTTTTTTTTTCTTTTCACATCTTGCCAATCTATCATGCAAAGTAATTTTCATTTTAAGATTAAAAATACTCTTATGCATCAGAAAATTTTGAAATTTCATATGCAAAATCTTTAAAATGTCCAGATAGTTATCAAATGTTTCTTTAAAAAAACTATTATTATTATAGATAAAAACTGTTTATCTGTTATTTTCAGTAATTAATCTCTGTACGGGTTAGGTAGATTTGATCAATCTTGCAACCACCATAAAAAAAATAG